TTTAAGGGAGAAAAAGTAGTAATGCAATCAGAGTTGAAGAAATACTCACATTTTAATATACTTTTACTGCATGGTTGCCTTTTTGCATTCACCAAAGTCTAAATGTTCCCAACCTTTTTTCATGCGATTACACTCTTCACCATGCAGCAGACTGTGACAGCACTGAGCAGCTCCTTCAGTGGGAGACTGCGGCACCCACGGTGTGGGACGGAGAGATTTCGCAGGTCTTTCCTCCCCACTGCTGTCAGACTCCATAATAAAGACTTTAACTGATCAAGCACACACATCCATACATATGCAATAATACTAAGTGCAATAATCCTTTCTGTCATCGTTGTATTTTTACTCAGTTGTATATAGTATTTGTATTTGTATTCTATTTTTATCTTATTGTATATTTATTTTATTTTATTCTACTGTATATAGTATTTTATTTTATTCTATTCTGTACAGCTGTGTACTGTATTTATTCTTATTGTATTCTAATTTTTGCCTCATAACTTTTGCACTGTCCACTTCCTGCTGTGACAAAACAAATTTCCCAAGTGTGGGACTAATAAAGGTTATCTTATCTTATCGTATCTTAAATTTAATTGGCTTAACACATTTTTTTTTTAATTTACCTAAAACTTATTTTCTATTCTACTTTTTACTACAAGCTATATTCACCCATTCACAGCACTCTTATTCTATTTACTATCTTCACCCCTCACAACCTAAAGTATCTATTGGGCCGGCAATTTGTGTCACAGATTATTGCCCAAGGACACCAAAAAACTGTGTACTGGAGGAGCAGGGGTAATCAAACCACAAACCTTCCAATTAGTAGTACATCCCACTCTACCACTCAAGCCACAGCTGCCCCAGTAAAACCGAGAGACTGTTGAAAACTGGAACAGAAACTGTGCTTTGGTTAAGTCACTGTGTGTATATGTGTGTGTGTCATTGCTGTTCATGTCTGCTCTTTGTCGCATGGCCACAAGGTTGGGGGATACTTGCCTTTCAGGGACTCCATATTTTATTTATTGTAGGGAGTGTGCATAAGAGCAAGGCAGAGAGCAGAAGGAAAAGGGAGAGGAGAAAAGCATGAGATTGACGCATAAGGATGAAGGTGAGACAGAATGAGCAAAAAAAACTTTAGAATAGACATTTGAAACAATAAAAAAAAAATACTGTAGCGGAAAGGCACATGATGAAAGAATATTATATTGTTTACTCTCCACATTTTTATACCTTCCAAACTAACTTTCTTTATCCAGAAAACTGCTACCATACCACACTGCTGCTATTCCATTATATGTCTGCATGCCTAACTCTGATGTTCTTGCATTTACACAACTGGAACTAATGGCACTGCTTCTGGAGTCCTTCCGAATTAACCCTTTGAGTCAGCCAAGCACACAAATGCACACAGACACACAAATACACTGCTTAAAAACTCCTGAGGGGAAAGTTACTAAAGAAAATTAATGAGTTGTATCAAATAGCTCAGGAACCATGCAGTGTGTGCACTTTAACTCTTGTTGTGTGGTGTCAGAGAAGCAGTTGTTAAGGTTATAAAGAGTAGCAAATTGAGTGCCCAGTTACTGGCTGCACACACAGAGCTAAACTTAGTATACTGTATCTACATGACAATACTTTTCACACCCCTCAGGCTACAGTCTTGGTTTTAAGATTGGCATTTGCAATCTTTATCTATAGCTGTAGCTATGATTGATTCAGCTATGAAAAGCTGCAATAAAACATTGTTTTTGAAGGTTCAGGCTGTTGATAAATTAACTGCATGACACATAAAGAGGTTCGCCTGCAGCTCTCAGAGGTGAGGGTTGTACACGTGGGAATTTATCTGATATTGACTAAGTTATTACATCTCAGCTTGCACAGAAATCTATTAAAAACTGGATTTACATTAATTGTGTGAGTGTGCGTGATAATGAATATTTTCTCACAGTCATGCTGCATCTCTCACGCTCAAGGTCACGGTAGCTGCATAGTGTAATAAGTTCTACCAGTAAACAGTTTGTGTATCCGTCCTACAGCAGGCCTTTCCCTCCCTGAACCTTTACAATAGCAGCAGGATTGAACTACGCTCAACTCAGACAAGTCAGATATGTCTCTGTGTGCCTGGGGGCTTGCTAAACTGAATCTGCTTCGATAGTAACAGCACTGTAGAAGTCTAAACGCAACAAGTCTCACTGGATTTTCTTTCTCTTTTCATATATAAAGATGTGACAATGTCAAGCTGAAAAAGAAATATTTTATTGCACATTAGCACATTCAGAGTTAAAAGTTTAGTATGAGACCAATAGCTCCTGTCTCAAAACAGTTAGAAATACTTTTTGTTTGTTTGTTTGCTTTCTTTTGACAAAGTGTGTAATTCCAAATCTCAGGCATAAAGCAGCGGATGAGTCTCACATGTGACATGTGTACAAGATACTCAATTTCGTGCATGCTCAAAAAGCACACAGCGGCGCAATCAAGTAGTCACTTTCACACCCACATCTACATGTTAATGACATGTTAGCATGTGGCTGTGATCATTCATCATGGTAAACCGCAGGGGAACCACCACAAAAATGTTTGAAATAAACCTAATGAGGCACTTAAATCACTTTCACCCAGCTGAACATGCCCAACTTGAAGAAGGGCAAAGTGGCTAAAGCTAAAGCTAACCAGAGCTCAGAGCTAGCCAGATGTCAGCAACCACAACCTGAGGCAGCGTGAGCCTCGGTATGAGCAGTAAAGGAATCAAAGCAGTTAAAAGGAAAATTATGGAGATGAGTGAAAAAGAGAAAAAGGTTGATGTCCTGTTATCTGGTAATTTTATAATTTAAAGGAAAATGATATATAAGCACCTGACACTTGTTTTGTTGTACAAATGCTCCTGCTTTGTTTGGGAAGGTAAAATTTGTCAGGTAAAGGTGGGTGTATAGCAACTTTATTATTTGCACCCCTCTATTTTTATTTAGAGAAAATGTTAAAGCTTAATAATTTATCTTATTTGGAAAATAAAATGAAGCATTTTATGGCTGTTTGGCTGATTATTGTTTTGGTGCATCAGTGAATCTCAAATCTAATGCATTGTTTTCTGTAGTTTTGGTCCAAAACAACCGGACTAATTATCCTTTAAAGCCATAAATACTTTTTGTTCACAGCTGGTAAGTGTTGGTTGCTGGGTCACTGCCTGCCTGTTCAGTAGAAGGGAACATTAAGAAAGGCAGAAATACAATTCAAATACACATGTAACATTTAACATGAATCTGTCAAAACAATTATTATTTTTGAACTGTTAGTGTTGTTGTGCTGCACCTTTGGTATGCATGTCAGATCTTATTAAGAACAGCTTTTAAACATATATCTGTTTTATGTGTGGAAAATGTGTTGTGTCTTTGCGATGGTCACCAGCCATATGTATGTAGGTCTCTCAGTATCTGTGGGCAGCTGATTTGAGGCTGCACATGAGACACAGCTCTATGTGCCGTGGCGAAAGCTATCAGTTTTTGGTAGGGCATGCTCGTATTACAAGAAAAACACTTGGCTTCGTGATCATTTTGATGGCATTACTACAGTTTGCACATCGTGCAAATGTTGCTAATGGTGAACACTGCTGTTCACCATTTGATCAAGTTAGTCTATAAAGTCTTGGAACGACTAGAGTTGCATTTATTTAAGCCCATAATATGTGTAGGTAGTAAATAGGAAGTCAGTCGGTTAAGCTAGAGGAAATCCTGGTCATGCTAACATCTGCAATCAGCTAATTTGAGATATCAGCTAAACATTTTTGAAGAAAAAAGGTATCTAACCAACATTTGTGTTTAAGCCGTTTGTGAAGAGAATATCAACAGTGAGGCAAAATTAAAAGTAAAAAGTAAACAAAATAAAAAATAAATGAATAAATCAAAAAGAGAGACAGAAACATAGAAGGGGATAATGACAGTTAACAATGGCTGTTATGCAAGAAAATGTACAAGTCCACTTGCTCCATCTGCCACTGGGGTTTTCTTGATTAATCATGAAGGAATTTGCGACATGGCTCATACCATAAGAGAAAAACAAACTGTGGAGACCACAATGAGAAGGGCTCACTCCAGATATTGTGCAGATGACAATATCACAGCCATACATGCAAACTCACACACACGAGGTTATTACAGGTTATTTTAGCTTGTATTCCTTGAGGAATACAAAAAACCCCTGCCACACTCTAATGCTTAAACAGAGTCAAAGCTCTGCTCGGTAGCAATAAAAGCTCCTTTTACACGTGTGTAAAATGCCTCATAAAGACCTAAAGACCCAGAAAATGCGGGAAACAGTCCTTTTCTATCCTGGATAGCTCCTGTAAGATTCATATCACTGTTGTGCTATGGAGCCTTTCATTGAATTATCGAATTACAATACAGAAAACAAGGTCTTAAAACGCTCCATTAGCATAACAGGGCAATAATACTGAGTTTCAATCAAAAAAGAGAAAAGAGGAATATTGTTCCACTTTGTTCCAGTTAGCCTCATTCCATTTCTGTGAGAATACCTAAAAGCTGCAGATAGTTCCCTTTAAATCTGAAAAGCCCTGAGCATTTTTTTTGTCCTCTTAGCTCCTCCTCCCTCTTTCATCCTAATACCTCCACTTCCCTGTATAAATGTATCATTACAGTATCATTATGTCTATGGTATCCCCCCCAGCCTCCATTTACAGGGACTTAGGTACTGTGTTCTGGGACTTAGGTGGACCCATTATGTTATTAAGTCATTATGAACCGGGACACAGAGAAAATAATACCCATAATGGGAGCTACATTGGGCACTGCTTAAGTCTATAACTATAACTCCCATCCTCCCTGCTTTCCTGCCTATTTGTCTGTCTGCCTGTAAACCTGTACGTGCTCTGTGTCATGTTACACATACCCAACAAAGCTATTTACCAGAAAAACAGAAAAATAGTGTGAAGTGAAACTTCTGATTTATTTAATTATGTAAACATGTGTTGGCAACAACGGGCTCACCCCAGAATTAGGATATGCTGTCCACCCCAGCTCAGCTGTGGCCACCCGAGTGTCCATCAAGGTCTCTGCAGCAAAGAAAGAAAAAGACAGAGAGAACCAGCGGTTAGCCACACAGAAGCTATTTTGAGTACCATCCCACACAGCTAAATTATATTCAAGCCCCAGTGATCGCTTGACACTCATTGATGAACAGAAAGCAAGAATCCCTACAGTGTTTCATCCGTCTCTGTTACTCTTCTGTTAAGACTAGAAACAAATCCTTGGCACTTTGCTGGAAGGAACCTCTGAGAGACTAAAAAAAACTCTTTGCATTGTGTTATCTCGCTATATACAGTACTAGACTACATCCTGCCTTTGTCCTGCTTATATGTGTGCAAGTATTATGAAAGATAAGTGGGTATGTCGATACACTGTATGAGGTTTGCAGATGGCCTGGCAAAAAGAGTTGGCTTCACATATGAAGAAGGAGCCCTCCAAGGTTAGGCTCTGATGTATTTGCGTCAGCTTTCCTTAACCTAAAGTTATGAAAACGCATATATCTGCAAGCCATAAAATGTTTTTTAATTTCAGATTAATTAGCTAATTTTCTAAACGCCTGCCAAAAAACATGATGACCTATGTTGGATAACTTTAGGCTACACAAAATGAAAGAGTAACACAATACAGCCTGAAAAAGGAAGAAAAAAGTACAGAGAAATGTTCAAGGATTGGATTTATCTTTGTTTGGACTTTTATTATACAACATGTCATATCTGGCCACATATCAGTGCAATATGAGAACACAGATTGCCCCCTTCCTAATCCTCAGGGACATAGCTTAGACAAATAAGTCTGGCAGCTCACACCAGAAGTTTATCAGCTCTTTTTTTGATTAATATCTGCCTTGCTGGTACATGATATGTTGCTCAAGGAAAGAAGAGAGAAATATGGCAGTTTTCACAAAGCGCTCACCTGCCCCTCTCCCTGCAATACAGATTTATAGAGCGATGGACTAACTGACATGCTGGCCTTAGCAGAGTAATGATAGATTGATAATTTCCCCTGTAACAGACAGTTTATCCTCGGTCCTAAAACATTAATATTACAGAGAGTGAACCAAAGGATATTTCACATTTTCCGATGTCCCCTGCCACGACATACACTCCATTGTGTTTGTTGTTTTGTGTTGTGTCCAGACAGATTAAAAACTGCGAGACAGAAGGGTGAATGGTATGCTTGTGTGATGATCTGCATTCTGTAGTAGACAAGCAGAAAGTGTGTGTGTGTGCAATTTTCATAGGAACTGTGGTCGTTGTGTGTTTGGCTTGGAGCTCTTCCACTTTCACAGCAAATGGTTGGCTAGCACAACCCACATGTGTTGTTGATAAGGGAGAAATCTCACTCTGATTAAATGCATAGACACAACGATGCCCTCTTTCAAGATTTCCAGGAGAGGTTCCAGCCCTCATCACCCTCCCTTTACCTACTCCCCCAGAACAAGCACGCACTCGCAGCTGCTGCTAATTTGGAGTCTCACTGAAGTCGCTGTGCATTTTGAAATCATTCCAAATGACGGAACACTCAAAGCCCGTCATCCGTGGTTCAAGAGCGTTGGTTAAAATTTTTTTAAAAACAAGTACATTGTGGTAAGGATGAGTGACAAGCCACCTGTAAGAAGAAAAGAGCCTTTTCATTCTCAGTCTCTACTTACTGGGAGAAACTGTCCTCAGACATGAAACCAATTAGCCCCTGCACACACAAGCACTCACAATGCATGTTAGGACACACGCAGATGGACACCCGTTCTGCTCATGCACCAGCCAACTTAGAGAGCAATTTTCTGTGTACACCTACAGTGACAGCCTTGTTCACACCCGGCTTCCATCAGAGTATTTCAATTTCCCTAAGATCAGCCTTGCCTTGTCTAGTTTCCACAGCCAGCCAGCTCCAGCCTGCCTGCCTGCCTGCTTGTACGACTTGCTGTCAGCTGGGGAGATAGGAGCATGAAACACCCCTCAGCGCCAGCCAGCATTGTGGGGACTGCCAAACCTTTCTCTGGGGAAATCACAGAAGCTTTAGTCAAATCACACAGGGTCTTGGTCGACCATTTTTTTTTCTATTTCCTTTTAAAATGGAAGGGGGAGGGTTGGGGTTGGAGGGGATTCGGTCTAAGATAGGATGCGGAAACGAAAAAAAAAAAAAAAAAGGTCAAAGGCCCAAGGGAGGGGTGGATGAGCAGAGTCATGTGGTCTAATGCCTACCATTAGCAGAATATCAAAGTAGCGGATGAGTAAATGGAGTATGCTAAGTGGTGATTAGCAACGGGGAGGGGCTCGAACAGCCATCATGGCATTGCTCGCACACCTGTCCACTGGCACTGGAGATTTTGAAAATGTCCCTTGTGTATGTGCATGTGTATGTGTATGTGTGGGGCTTTTAAATGAGCACTTCTGTGAACCGTTCATCCATTAAATGATAAGTGGATTTGAATAGTTTCATTATAAAATCAACTTAATTACACGAAACATCTCTTCGAAAAAGAGGAAACATTGTTTTTTATTGCTGAAATTACAAGTTATCTAAATAGCCTAAGGTTACACACTAATTAAATTTTGGTATAGGTATTTTTTAAATTTATTTAATATTGGGTAATATTGGGTAAATAATAAACAATTAATCTGTTAGTTTAATTGGTTATTATAATGAGTTTTAGTTTCAGTTGATTGCCTGTTTCTCTGTTGCCCCTGTAATGGAGTGGCGATCTGTCCAGGGTGTACTCTGCCCCCCCACCCCACCCCCAACACAAACACAATACAGTATGGAGTGCAGTTAAAAACAATACATTACTGAAAATTGCATTTCAAGGACCTGGGATGTTTATTGTCTGTCTAGAAGCTTAATGTTGGGTTACTCCTTAGCATTGTAAAAGCAATTAGTCGTCCACGCACTCCAAGTTTATAGCAAGTCATTTGCAAGGCAAGGAAAGGACCTTGCCATGTCCCTAGTGTTTGGAAGGTAGCCCAGTGTGTTTTCTTCTGTATTCATATTCTGCTATGTCAGCTCCACCTGCAAGCTCCACTAAATTAAGACCAGGCAGTTTCACCAGTAGTTGAGTCTTTGTGAAAATTGTTAACATGGAGAGATTAATGTTAACTAAGCAGCCACGGCTCATAAATCTATTGGAAAACAATGGCTTGTAGGTGTCGGCGTCACCAGCCTTAAATACATTCAAGGATCCGTAAGGCTCGAGGCTGTATTGCAACTGCATCACAGAATATTAGTTACCCTTTATCATACAATGGATGTAGGTTGGATAACACTGCAAGAGTACCAGTCAAAACCCAAAAGTCGCAAGCCAAAGCCAAGACTCAGATGAGGCCTTGCAGCTCCCAATCCCCGAGAGCACAGCTCCTTCTTATTAGCAGCAAGTGATAGATCAATACCAAATGGTAGGTTCTGGAAGCAGCCTACCATTTGGGGCTAGAGAAAGGGAGGGAGAGAAATGAAAGAGTGAGAGAGACTACATTAAACATTGATGGGGCTCTGCATTATAGATCGATAAGGCAGCTCTCTTCGCACAATTACACGTCAGCAAGCAGTCGCATGACACATCGCATAGACACGCATGATTACGTGGAAGTTGTACACACTAAAGAACATCAATAGAACGGGAGTTCAGTGAAGGAACAACAGCAAAAATGAATTGGCCAATCTCTCTGCCCTCTTTTAGCTCTCATGCATGACTTTAATTCTACGCTTTAAAAGTCAGAATGCCAACATGTCTGTGTAATTCCCTCCTTTGCAGCCAATCTGAGACTGTATGGCCACTAGTCGATACAACATGTGCCGAAGTGCCTCTCTGAAGCTTCCTGGCTCCTCAATCAATACAGCAGGCCATTCTCCACGGATTTCCATTCTCTTTCCATCTTTTACATTCATCTATTCTTTAGCCTCCCCCCACTCCCCAATGTCCTCCTGTTCAAGGATGCTGGTATACTTTGTAATTCAATGAGACAATCACGTCCAGATGCAGGATGCAAAGCTTTAAGGGTCTTCTCTTTGTGACTGTAGCAGCAAAGCGAAAGAAGATCTGAGGCCCTTGGATGACATTATGTAAGTGGGGTTTATCTTTTCTTGGGGGGATGGAATCAAGATGGTCGGATAAAGAATGAAAAAGAGGAAGAAAAAAAGAAGACAAATAGACAGAAAGACGGAGATGAAAAACCAAGTGGAGAAATCAGCGGGATTGGAATGAGCACTTAACAATGATGAAACCCCATGGTAGCCTGCTGAGCCTGGCATCTTAATACAGAGCTGAAAACAAAGTGACAAACAAACACGAACGAAAGATGCTGCATCTCCCAAACTAATCAGCCGTCCACTCAGGGGACTTATGAATATAAAAAGAACGTTTTGACAGAGTGAAGTATTTTCGGAACAAATCATGTGGAAGTGTCTCACGCAGACAGACACCACTTACCCGCTGCATCCCTGATTTCGAAAGAAAAGACCGCTTCACGTCCAGCATGGTTAAGGCCATTTAGCAGATTTGGAAACTGCAGTTATGGCACAGTACTGCTTCAGGGGGAAGAAGAATATAAAAAGGCAATATCTGATTGAGTCACCATGTTCAACAAAGAAGACAATCCATACAAACACAGATGTGAGACTTCTCTACTCCGTGCCACACTAAAGCTCTGTCACTCATACTGAAGGATTTTTACTTTAAATAGAAGATACAGAACAGGCAACTGAAATGCATCAAAAGAAATGTGTTACTTCCATGTCCCCCTGAAGACAGAAATGACAATGTGACTAAATTTGAAAACTGAAGGAAAAAAAAAGAAAAAATCTGCCAGCCTCCTCCGAGACATTAGCGCGGAGTGATGGGATACACAAGTCCTGCATCTTCTGAGCCACAGACTCCATTAAACGAACAGGCTCACAAATTACAGATTGCCCACACTCATACACACAGATTTAGTAATAGCGCGCCTGGCTAACAGTCACTCACGACGGCTGTGTGAAAATATAATTTTCGCTCCGTGGAAGAAGAGCAGACACGTATGAAAGACAAAAGAGAGAG